TGTGTTTTCAGACCTCATGAAAGCCTCATCAGTCATCTCCACTGGTTTTGTGCTCTTGCAGGCGCTATGCTTTTATACACCGGGGTAAAGTCTGCATTTTTTCCTTTCTTTTTTTTTTTTTTTTTTAATTTAACATCTCAAGCCATTATATGAGTGCTGAACAAACTGAAACTCCCCACCCACAGAATGATGCTTTTGGACACATTAGGTCTATATACTAGGTCTGCCTCAGCCGAGGTGGTGGTCTGCAGCATGCCCAGCCCTTCTCTGAGAGTAACCACATTCTGCACCAAAATCGTGGCTGTGTATTGCCCGTGTGCCTCAGCTGGATTTAACACAGTTTGTTCGTGTGCTGAGAGCCACAGCAGCCCACCACAGCCCATTCTGGGGAAGCCACTGAAATATTTACCCAGTTTCTACTGCATCCAGTCCCATGCTGCGCTGTCTGCAATGTTATCTGTAGCCAAATTAGCTCATTTGAAACTAGCTTGACTGTGCCCACACAGGAGTGACTGCAATGTCAATGAATCGAAATATAATCGGTGGGTGTAATTGAAAGGAAGGGGGAACTGAAAGAAAGAGCAAACATATGATTGCAGATGCCAGCTATGCGCCCTGATGCTGCCTTGTGCTGACTGTCTCTATGTATTTCTTTTAGCTGCACAGAATATGGTACACATGTATTTTCAACATCAAAACTCTTGGTTGGCCCACTAATGAAAATGAAACTGCAGTAGCAGCTTGTACATGTATTTTTCATGGCATTTTTAATGGAAATTGGCATTTTTAATGGAAATTATTTGCTTTCACCTGAAATAAAAAGTTACACTTATTCAGCTTCTTGGCAAAGGAGAATGTGATGAGCTTAAGGGAGTGCAGGCTGCACCAGGCTTTACCAGGCTCTTAGACTGCACAGGGGCACGGGTGCTTTAACCCTGGCTCCAGTTACTCTGCTGCGCATCCCACATTTCCCTTCTGCTCGCCCCAGCAGTGGATTTAGCAAATTACCATTACAGGAATGGCACTGGCTGCATCAGGGCATTGGCTCTCTGCTGGCTGCTGGAGTGCAGAAAGTGCTCACTCAGGTGATTAAATGCTTCCACGTCTGCTGGAAAGTGCTCTGTGTGCTGCGATAGCAGCGGCCAATGCAGCAGGAGTCATGCTGGGCCTGTTCCTGCTGGGACCGTACCAGCACAGAGCTGGAAACAATTAACCATTGAAATGAGTATTCTTTGCAAGGCAGTGTTATTGCAGTAATAGCTCCACAAGCTGTTATCTCAATGGAGAACACACTCTTTTTCTTTCTACAGCAGGTTGTTTTGCATTGATCCAGGCTCATTAACTAAGTTTTGAAGCTGAAAAGCCCCAAAATCCATCTGAAGCATCATCTACATTGCAGGCAGCACTAGGTTTTCTGTGTTTCAGAAAAAAAAGGCAGGAGGATCTTCAGAAAGAAAACAGATGTCCCTTTTGTCCAGCACTTTCTGTTGACAGCAACTATTCAACATTTCTTGAATCTGCGGCACCAAATTAACCTGGATGCAGCTGAGGAAGCAGAGCTCAGAGGGATGTAACAAGTGTCCCATCACCTAATGCTGAGTATGACCTCATGCTAATGTGAAATGTGGGCTGGGGGGCGGGGGGAGAATGAGGGGATTGTCATCCATTAGCCCCAAACCTGTATTTTTTGTTCTTGTTGACATTTACAGGAAGCTTGCTGAGATCTGAGTCAACCTTTGGCACATTTCAGGAAAGCACCAAAAGATGTTAAAAGGTCTTGAAAAGTTAAACAGACAACAAAGGAAAAAAAGATTAATCAATGGCCTGACATCAGTGTTAGGCAATCCATTAATTTGAGGCAATCCATTAAAATGAGGTTCAGTCACTAAATTATTGAAAAAGCAATGGCAAAATTATTGACAGCCAGTGTAGGCAACAGAAAATAAATCTCATGAAACCCAGGGAGGTACCAGATTTTATCTTTGATCCAATCCTGAGCTCAGTGTATGTAAATTTATTCAAGAAGAGATGGATTGATCTTGGTCTCCTGGTGATCACTGGCTGGCAGGTAACCTCTCTGGTCTGCTTGGCACCTATCCTGGCAAGGGGCCATGAATCCAGGATTCCTGAATCTCCGTCAACCCCAACAGGTTTAGAGGGCTCTGAGACACCGTGGGTGGCTTATTCCTCAGGATCTTCAGCTTGTGCCTACTGAGCAGCTGGCTGCTGGCCAGGGCTGGCTTAGAAACCTCTCAGTGACAGCAAAATTGAGTTTCACTGCTCTGAGGGTGTGAATGGGGAGGATCTCACAGGGCCAGGCAGGCTCCAGCAGTGAGAGGTGTGGAGGGACACCCTCAAAATGCCCTGGGAGCAGCCATCACACTTCCTGCAGAGCCTTTTTGTGTTTCACTGGACAGTGCTGCAAAGCAAGGAGCTGGAGAACAATGGTTTTGCCATTGCCCAGCAGCCATTTGTTGATCTTGGACTTGCTTTGCCACTGTCCACAGCCCTCCTCAACTGAACATCTCGCATCCTGTCCCCCTAAGCTGGTAGTGAAAGAGGTTTCTGGACAGCTGAGTGGCATCAGAGCAAGCAACTGGCCACATGAGAAATGCAGGGGAAGGGTTGTGTCACCTGCTTGCCAGCTCTGGAGATCTCAAATGCCTCTTCCCTTCAGGAATTCTTCAGAGAAGAAAGAACAAAACCAAACATTTTCCATCTGAAGGAGGTTCTGCAGTACTTCAGGCCTATAAATGCAATGTTTAAGGATGATATGGAAGTGCTTGAACTTGATGGAGTGAGAGCAGGTACTGGTGAACAATGTCTTCTGGCACAATTGATGCAAAAAATCTGCCTACAGGCCAATAGATTTTAAAGTCTAACTTCTTAGCATTTTAAGTTGGTCTTAAAAGAATCTATTAATCTATTTTTGCATGTTTTAACATCCCTCATCTACACTGCAGAGGCTCTAAACAAATAAACTGAGTTTTACAATGAGGGGTAGAAGGAGACAGAAGATGTTATTCAACAGAAAAACACAGAGTTTGCCTTCAGTGTTCAGGCAGCAATTGCAGTTCCTACCAGCCAACCATGTGATAGCAGTGCCTTTTCCAGCTCTCACAGCCTTGGGGGGCTTGGCAATCACACTTTTACACCCTGTGTTTTCAGACCTGCTGCACTGGGCTCTTAACGGGCAAGGGCTCGAAAAGGCAGCTGATTAACTGCAGTGCCTGTATTCTTATTAAAGGGAGCTATTAAAGTAATTGTTTTCTTTCTGCAAGGACATCTTCAGTAACACTTGTAACAGATGCCCGAGGGAGAAGACAGGCACTGTTTTTATGAAGACAAGTAATAACAAGTAGGAGTTAGCAATTTCATAAGCTGTGGGACTTACAAAGGCTGATTCTTGGCGTCTCTTTCCCTTTTTGATTTTCTGGTCTTTATTAATAAAACTGAGTCTCCATTAGTGTCTCAGTGGGGTCACTAACCTGGATATCTCTGTTCTAAATGGCCATCAATATTTGTGGCTTTTTTAGAAACTTTGTATTTTTGAGACATTTCACCTTTATCAAATTCACTTGAAATTAGCCCACTCTCTAATAAAATCCCTGGGGAAGGGATGAGGGGTAGAGCAGCAGAGCACACAATCACATGAGGTTTTTCTTGGGAATCCAGTGTCTATGATGTGAGCTCTTTTTCCTGTAAGGCATTCTATACAGCTGCCAAACATGTTGCTAAAAAAGTGATGTCACCAGTGCCATGTTGCCAGGTTACGGGTGTCACATCCTACAGAGAAATACAGTCAGAAGGGTGAGCAGAAGTGAGTCATCCTCATACCTTGATTAGGGCTTCACTTGGCTTGGGCTTGAGTCTGAAACGCAGACCTCTGCTTTCCAGAGGAGATCTCAACCAGTGGCTCACCAGTAGGACAGCTCATCCTGGAGGGAAACAAAAGGAGCCCAAGCTAGAGAACACAATCTTCAGCAGAGCATGGGATGCATTTTCCAGTTTCCATAGACAGCAGGGGATTTGATTCTCATGCCCCACATCTGAGGTGACTCAGATACCCCTTGGGGCACAAGGATAGAAAAGAACTAAAAAATCTAGTCCTTCCTTGACCCCAGGCAGACTCATTGAGGCCACGCTTACAGAAGCTTGCCTACTCCAGGCCTCCAGTGGTGGCATCTCCTGAACTTCCCAGATGAGAAACATGGGATGTGGTGGAGCTGTGACCCAGCTAATGTTCTCTTTGAGGCCTAGTCCATCCAGCCTCCAGTAAAAATGCCCATAAATCACTGCT